TGACCATTTATTGACCACATGATGCTAATTGAATATAAAAGGGTATTTATGCATGATATATGCCCAAATTGATTTTTCAAAATGTAATACAATGGTCTAGGTCAATAAATTATGGATTGAAATTGAATACATAAAAGGTCATTCTGGACAGTTGTAATTTTAAAACTGTTATTGTAATTGCCCTTTTAAAGTGTGCCATGGTACATAGTCTGCATCCCCTTTTTTCGCTACAGTGGATTCAAATTGTGTGTGATTGTTGTGATTTTTTCTTGGAAAACCCTTTCCATCATCAGGTAGAAGTTGAAAATACTTGTCAATGAAAAGGATTCAAGTAAAAACTTAAATAGATCTTAAATGAGTTTATGTCCTTCAAAATTAATTGAAAGTTGTGTTTTTATTGGATTTTTATATTAAATTTGCATTTTGATAGGGATAATGTAAATTATTAGTTCAATTACAAATTTGAATGTTACATAAGATAAAATATCAAAATCAAGTTTTCTCTTTATTTCTCAAAACTAGGCCCGTCGCCAGCAATTTTAATTTCGGAGTTAAAAACGTGGATAATACCAGCCTGAATTTGAAAGTTAACAATTAAACAATGAGTTTATTGCCCTAAATATGAAGGTATGATATGCATTTGTGTAGTAATGTAGTACAAATTTCTGAATGTATATTTGTAGATCATGAGAGAGGCCCACCCAGACTCAGGGGCAGCACCAAGACAAACTTTTTTAAACACCTCTAACAGACTGTGGAGAAAGAAGGTGATGCCTCTTTTAGGCTTCAACCCAGCAAAACATGTAAGTTTGAAATTCATATATCAGGATAACAGCCAGCTTATTTATTCTTGCAGGCCCTCTATTTTCGACTAATCAGTAGAAAATAATTGAAAATTAAATTGTTCCCAACATGTCAAACATAGATCAAAACTATGATACCAAAAAATCATGAAACGAATTTGGTGCAAAATTGTCCAGAAAAGACTAAATGCTTAATAGAGTATCACTTTTAAATAAGTTGGGTTTAATACAGTACACACATTTGGAAAATAATATGTACATGATGTATACATTTAAAAAAGAAGATGTGGTATGATCATGATGATTACCAATGAGACATCTCTTCACATCAGACCAAATGACACAGAAAATAACAACTATTGGTCACTGTACGGCCTTCAACATTGAGCAAAGCCCACACATGCCTAGTCAGCTATAAAAGGTTCGGAGTTGTGCAACTTTCAACAAAAGCTTTATTATGTAAAATCGACAAAAGTCAAACTCACAACATACCAGAATGCAATGTGTCTAAATACATGTTTTTTTATAATCAATATATAGAAATGTAGGATAATGGTTTATTAAAATGGCAAACACATTCAACTTAAAGTTCAAATATTAATGTGATGTTATATTGGACAAAAAATGTATTGAGATTGATATAATTTTAATCTTATAGTTGCATTTCTGATGACATGAAAATGGCAATTATGTCTTATAATTTTGTCACACAAATACGATAACTTTTTCGGCAGTTCTCATGATTGAAAAAAAATGTTTGTGTATAAGAACATGATCTTTTTACTGTTTTGAATGAAAATAGAACATCTCTCAGGACTGTGTAGATACTAAATGTAATGAAATATTGTTGAAATGTAACACATTTAATTCCAGGAAGGTACTTTTGGTGGTTCATTCAAGGAACAGATTTACCTGTCAACCCTTCCAGAGTGCTGTTTTGACCTGGTTATAGATGTAATCAACTCCCATGATGCTGGGTTACTGCACCAATCAAATAGGAAGGAAACTACCATTAAACCAGGACTTTTTAAACATCTTGTTGGTGTCAAATCAGAAGTAGTAGTGCACAGACATCTAAGTCAACTGAATAGCGGACTGATCAATCTGCCAGAGTTTCGTCAACAGACCAAAGATATAAAGGTAACTTATAAGTAAAAGGAAATAACAAAGAAAAATGATTAAAGAACAGCAGCATTCTGTTTTTGTTAAATATGGTGTATTTCTGTTGATTTATATCTTAAATATCGAAAATCATATATTCCCCTGTTATCATAACTATAATGATAACAAATGGTGTATATTTCCTTTTATCATATTTTTGTAGTTACAAGCATCAAGTAATCTTTTTGTGAAGCAAAGTCAATATTGTTTTTATATCTTAACATTATATAAAATGACAAATTGACAGTAACAAATTGAAAAAATGTTATAATTATTACAGCGTTAGTTTTATGAAAAGTTATCATTTTACAAACAAGTGATCCAGTGCCAATGAAACACAAATAACAGGTTGTTGTAACCTATTTAAGTTGGAGAAGATGTAGTATCAATCAGTAATTTTGAAAATAAAAGAATTGAGGAAATTTTTGAAATTAAAAAAACACCTTTAGTTCTATACACTGTCTCCATAACAGACAAGGATCAATGTCCATTTGTAAATTGTTGACTCTGGTAAAGATATTGGTTAATTAAAAAGAGCTTAACTTTCTTTTCAGTCAATATCAATTTTTTTTTGCATCTTTCAGCTTCAGCATCAGAGTCAAAACAGCACACCAAGTGGCCCAACAGTGAGACGGTTACAGGTATGATATATAAAAAGAGATGTGAAATATTTGCTTTTAGTTCAAGTCTTGTTCTGTCTAACATAGGACTAGCACATTTATTGAGATGAACAAGGTGTCTATTTTAGTCATGATATTTCTGCTTGAAATAAAATTCAAGTTATATCTTTGTTTTCATTTACATTATTATATTAGAGGTAATCGATGTTCAAATCACTAAAAGAATTCTAGCTGTAATTTATAGATGGTGTTGTACAGTCTGTTTTGAAATATATATATAGAGAGACCTGGATGTAAAGAACTTATCTGTGTTATATGTAATCTTCCATGTTTTAAATCTTTTTATTCCATTTAATCAAATATCAGGTTAAAGACTTTAAATCGATTGTTATTTTCTTAAAGAATTGGCAAGAACACTGATTTATAACTTCCAATTTAAATTGCAGAAGCCCCCTTTTGTCTAACATCTTGAGTGAAAATTGTGTACTAACAGAATCAGAATTGTAAATAGTAAATAGTCTAATAATCTCTTCTTTTTTGTTGCCACATTTCCAAATCAATACTTTACATTTATTTGGAAAAGTTAAGATGTAAACAAATTCCTAATTGCAACAATTATTTGAAATATCCCCATCAACACATAACTAAATGAAACATATACATTGAATTTGTTTTTTTGTAGAATGAGATTCTTCGACTGAAGTCCCGAGTTGAAGAGTTGGAAGAGTTGGTTGAAAGAAATCAGACACCAGATCAGGTACTTTTTTTTTACTTTGTGTGCGGCAGTGGTAAGATGTCAATCAGATTGTTAGTCAATTGTCTTTCACACTTTCAAACCTGTTCATACCAAGAAAAGGACAGGAAGTTATTGAGCAACTCGATAGAGTGCTTTTAAAAATAAGAACCACACATTAGTGTTTAATTATCGATGAATCCTCTGTTAGACATAAACCAAACCAAGAAAAAAAAAACAAAACATGTAGAGGCTTACAGGCGGTCATCAACAATCAAATGTTAATATTTCAATCTACCAAGTTTTATTAAAATATATGATTACATTGGCAAGTATGTTATTTAACAATTGAACAATTGTAGCAGATCAAATACATCAGTTTGCGAATGTAGATGTATAAATACTACTCATTTACATTTTTTTTCCTGTACCAACTACAATATGAAACTGGTTTAAGGCTTTAGCAGTTTTAGCTGTTTAAAATTTAATGAACATAGACACTTGATGAATTTAGGTTGCTTTTCCTAGATATGTATTTTCTCATATACACTGAAGTGACTTTCTATGATTTACATCACATACTAATATATATTGAAAACTCTTTAAATGTTTTTGTAGGATGTGTATGAATTTGATGACACTGACCTCTCACTCAGAGAACAAGATATGGAGGTTACAATTGAGGTAAGCTTTATTTTATCATAGGTCACCCTTAATTTTGTGAAATCATGTTAATTGTAAAAATTTTGTATGCATTTATAACAAAACGTGGTAAACTAAAAATCCAGATGTTACAATACACATTTTTATGGACAAGCACATTTTGAATTTTTATGGTGCTTACTGATTAAGCGTAAAAGACAATCACCCTTGATTTAATAAAAAACTCAATGCATGTGTTATGCTGAACCATTATAATGACCCATAAAGCCATTAAGAGTTTGATGTTCTTTAAATATTTTTTTTCTTCAAATTTTTACTTCAGATTTTTCAGAAATCGAGATATCATAAAAAAATATAAGTGAAATTTAAATGTCACACCGATACCCTCATCCATTTGATTGTAAGCCAACAACTGATATGACAATATAATACTATTCTAATGAGAAGTTTTCAATTTTTGTTATATGATCTTTTATGAAAGAATTTTTTTTATCTTTTAGAATGAAGAGTTGGATGTCATTCCTGATACACCAACAGGTTCACAAGTTAGAACCATTCCAGAAACACCATCCACTTCCAAGATAAATTATCTGATTAAGATGCCAGTAGATAAAAGTTAATGATACATTTAAAATGTGTTAGCTATGGTGCCTTAATTATCTTCTTGTATCACTAAAAAATTGAGCTTTTTTATGAATTTGGTTTTCAGTTCTAGCTACCTAATCATTAAATGCATATTAACAACTGAAAGAAAAGACATTGTGCTTTCATTGGTGTAAAATAGTTTTTTAAACAATTTATTCTGTACAATAAAAGTCAGATTTATAGTTTAACATATCTGAATTTGGTTTATTCATGTAAAACATCATTATTATGCACCTTTTTATTGCCAGAACAATATTTTGTTCAACCTGGCAATTTGAATCTTGATCCAGTTTCAGACAGAAGTATAAACTTTTGACATATTGAAGTCAATTAACATCCTTAACATATTTGATTGTTAAATGGGACATTTATTTTAGGCAACCAGTAGCAGAAAAAGAAACAAAGAAGGAGAGCTTCTAAACATCCTTGACAGACTCCGTGAGGTATGAATGCATGGTTTTAGTTATTTAAGCCAAGTGGATCGTAATTTTTCTTATTTCAAGCAAGTTGATAATTGCAAGCTTTTATTAAAAAGTTCATTGATTATTTACTACATTCTAAAATACACAATTTTAAGATGACCCATATTAATCTATATGCAAACATATAAATAGCAATCAACCTTTGTGCATCTATTAGATATATGTGTAATTTGTTGAGTATAAGAAAAGTCTTAATTTAAGAAATGTGGATCGTAAACAAAGTTTAAAAAAAGATGTACTGATACCAAAAAGATAAGTTTGAAATTCATTTTATTTTTTTTATACTCAATCATATGGAAATAAGCAAATATCTATTTGCAAAATCATCACATATTTTGTACAAGTTAGTCAGATGACAATTACAAGATATCATATTGACTTTCTCTTTTACTTCTATAATAATCATCACCTGACTTTTAACATGTTTAATATGATACTGTTATGCCATATTTTTATGTTTGTATTTGTTTTATTTTAAAAGCGTGCAGAAAAAACACAAGAAGATGACCAGACAGAAGAGATTCATGTAATATATATTTTTTTTTAAATTAATTTTCTCATCGTTTATAAGAATAAGAAAATGTGGTATGATTGCCAATGAGACAACTGTCTACCAGAGACCAAATTACCTAGATTTTAACATTGATAGGTCACCATATGTTTTTCAACATTGTCTATAGACAGTTTTGTCTATTAGCTCAATTTGGTTTAAAAGAAAAAAAAATAATTGTGAGGTAATCTATGGTAAGACATCTTGTCAATAACATAACTAAAATTTAGTTATTATTTATGAAGTATGAAACCTTATCGGGAAATAAAATTATCATCTTGCAGCTAATGGCCTGTAACTTGTATGGATTATTTCAACCAGAGATATTTTTTTCCCAATTATTTATTGCAGTCTTAAACAAATAATGCAGCAAAAATGGTTGTTTGTCAATTTAGTATTAAAAAAATACTTCTTAAACTATTTTTAGCCTAACAATGTCCAGCATTTACACTTGCTAACATATCGAGACAGATTAGCTGAGAGTTGTCTAACTCTGATCTCAGTTTAAAATACACATTTGTATGGGTTCTGCTGTGTGTAATTTACACATTATTTAGACACAACAAAACTTCTGTGCTGTCTTCCACAAATATGAGAAATTAATAAACTATTAATATGCATTTTACCTTCAAAATTACTGCATTACTTTTCTATTCTTTTTAACAGTATTTGTTTGTGAAAATATTTAAAATAAATTCTATATTTTAGGTCTTTACTAAAGGTGAAAAGGTGTCTGCCTACTATTCCAATGATAAGAAATGGTACGATGCTGTTATTACTGCAGTTTTAAAAGACGGTTAGTTATTATTTTTCATAATTATAAGTTATACCATTGAAAAATAAATTGTGGTATGAATACAAGTAACGAAATGCATGCAGTCAGCAAATCATCATTTTTTTATAATTTGGGATATTGTCAAAATCTGTTGATGGATTGATTTTTATTAATGTTAATGTCCATTTGCAAATACTTCATGCATATTGAATAGAACTGATGTTTACTCAAAAAATTATAGTAACTGCTTGAACTATTCGTGCATTTCCACTTAAAATAAAATTCATGCATGAACTGGTTCATACTATGAAAAACAATTATGTAAATTGTAATGAATTTTCAAATATTTAATTTTTTTGTGTAACTGAAGAAGAGCCTTTGTAGCATATGTATCACAGAAGTTCTCTAATTATACATTAGATTTTAAAAAAAAAGTGCTAAAACATTTTCATAATAGACATTGTATAAACAAATAACCTCAAAAAGAGAAACCTTAAGCAGTTCTGGGCAGGACAGAGGATTCCATGCTTTTTACATACCCCATTTGCCAAGAAGAATACAAATGGATGAAATCATTACTCCTCTCATATAATATTCTGTATCAAAAGCTGCATCAGTTTTCAATTAATAATCTGCACACCTTGAAAACTTGATTTTCATATAGATATGTCCTTTTAAATTCAAACATGAATACTTCTAAAACAATATTTAGTTGTTATCTGTTTAAATTTAAATATGCTCTTTTCTTATTTTACAGGCTATCGCATCAAATATGTGTTAGATGGGTTTAGAGAAGTGATTAAAGATACTGCATTGTTGAAGAAAATGTGATTTAAAGAACTATGACAAAAGACAGTGTATAAGAACTTATGTTAGAATGATGTTTTTATTATTCATAGTGACAAACAAATATTTTGCTCTGTTTTGAAAGAGAACAATTTATTTATTTATTTATTGCAAAGTTTAAACTTAACTTTTCTGTTATGTATTTGTGCTTTACCATTCAGCTATCTCGATGGTTCTTAATGTGATTTAAAGAACTGTGACAAAAGACAGTGTATAAGAACTTATGTTAGAATGATGTTTTATTATTCATAGTGACAAACAAATGTTTTGATCTGTTTTTAAAGAAAGTAATTTATTTATTTATTTATTTATTAAAAAGTTTAAACTTAACTTTCTTATGTGTATTTGTGCGTCACCATACAGCTACCTCGTTGGTTCTTAAAGTTATAATACCTGCACTCTAGGAGTGAGCGCTATCCAATCTTTGTGCTTATTTGCGTGTCTGTCTGACCAAGTAGTCCAACAGATATTTCTCAGAACATGCATAACAAAATGACTTAATATTTGGTTTGCTGCTTCTTAGGGATGAGTTAACCGTATTTTACTTATAAATGGACTTAGTTTTTCTGCCAGTGAACATTACATTCACTCTGTGGTTAAAGTTTTAAAAATTTTAATGACTTTCTTAAACTATCCTGGATTTGTACCAAACTTGGACAGAAGCTTGTTTATGTTCAAAAGCTAGTATCTACAAGGAAATTTTGTAAAAATTTATTGCCTGTTTATCCGTATATTACCTTTAAATGGACTTCTTTATTCTTCCTGTTAACATAACATACAGTCTGCAGTTAAAAGTTTTTAAAAAATTTATAAGATTCATAAACCATCCTGGATTTTTACCAAACTTGGACAGAAGCTTCTAACAATCAAAAGATAGTATCTAGAGGAAAATATTTAATAATTTTTTCCCCATAGACAACAGCAAAAGTAGGAGAGACACTGGGTTCCGCAGAACCCTTTCAAATTTTTTCTCCCATAGGATCTTCTTCCTTTGGTTTTTTTTAATCTCCCATAGGATTTTTATCCTCCCTTAGGAATTTTTTTTCTCCCTTAGGAATTTTTTTTCTCCCATAGGATTTTTTTTTCCCTTAGGACTTTTTTTTCTCCCTCAGGAAATTTTATTTTCCCTTAGGATTTTTATTCTCCCTTATAATTTTCATTTCTCCCATAGGATTTTTTTTTCCCTTAGGACTTTTTTTTCTCCCACAGGATATTTTTTCTATTATGAAATCCCTTAGGATTTTTGTTAATCCTTTAGGAAATTTTTTATCCTACAGGATTGTTTTACAAGTCAAAATATCCTATAGGAAAAAAAATATCCTGTAGGATATGCTTTTTTTTTTCCTAAGGGATTCTTTTACTCCTAAGGGAGAAAATTTATCCTACAGGATATTTTTATATTCCTAAGGGATTATAAATCCCATAGGATTTTAAAATCCTGTAGGATATTAAAAATATCCTACGGGATTATGACTTTTTCCTATAGGATTTCTAAAAATCCTGTAGGATTTTTAAAAATCCTATGGGAAAAAAAAATATCCTATAGGATATTGACACTGATTTCACTCGTAATGCCGAACGGGGCGAGCCATATCAAAATTTTTTTTTTAATTGTTTTACCTATAGGCATAGGTATATTATTGCCAAGTTTGATAATTCTACCTTAAAAAAAAATGTGGTTCCAATTTGCACTCACGAGAAGTGCAAATTAATCCGAGAACATGTTCAGTGATACATAGTTTACGCTCATTGAAATTCAAAACGTCACAACAGACACGGGCATAACGAACGAGTTGGGATATATAAACACCATAAGATGGTCCCAGAGAAACATCATCGTCCAAAAAAAGAAAATTAACAAAAGAGAAAGAAACATTATCCCTTTTGTCGTAAATTTTTGTGTAGAGTTTCTGGTGTAAAACTGATAAAATGTTTAAATCTGAGAAAGGTCACTTATTGCTGTAAATATTTGATTTATTTAAGGGGAGTTCCTGTGGGTAAATTTCGTCAGTACATTTAAAGAATTCTTAATTATGTAACGAAAATTATCATCAAGATAACGATAAGTTTTGTTGAATTTATTAATTAATCAGAATTTAGACGGGTCTTTACTGAGTTTTGCCATAAACTGTGATTCATAATAGTACAAGAACAAGTCTGTAATTAAAGGGGCACAGTGTGTTCCCATAGGAATACGTACAAACTGTCGTTAAACTTTATTGCCGAAACGCACATAAATATTGTCAAGGAGGAAATTTATGGCAATAATCATCTCATCACACCTCCAGTACATATTTCTCGTTTGAGAAAAAGACTTTATTAGAGTTTCAGTAAATAAATTTGCATTCAGATTTTTTGAATGACCATTTTATCAAATAGGAAAACTTTTGTTTGATAAGATTGTGTGGAAGTGTAGTGTAAAGAGTGGAAAAGTAAAAACTGTCAACCAAATCAACAGGACAATCAAAAGCCCGTAATTTATCTAAAACATCCAAGATATTTTTACACTCAAAAAATGGTAAATTCCACTATTTTATATGTTTTATTACAAAAATTAATGATCAGTTCTTTGATAGTAGTTACAGAACTCGTTAAAAGCACCGAAAGTTTAGTAGTAGAACACTTACTAGAGGCCGCAATGAAACGATATTTTACGTTTTGTTTTGTGTAGTTTAGGTAACCAATGAATAGTTGGGACCTTCAAATGTTTAGAAGAGGCCTTAAGCTGAGCTGTGGTTGTGACATGCTTATTTACTATATGCCTCTCTGTGGAGTGTACGGCCTTGAATGTTGTTGAAAGTATAATTTCATTCTTAAGGACTTCCGTGTAGTATTTATGTCATACCACCACCACATAGTTGGCTGCTTTGTCCGCCGATAAGAACACAAAACGCTTTGCAAGTACTTGAATTTTGTTTTTAATTCTAAAAATGGGTGTATTACATTTCTTTTATTTATTTCTATATTATTTCTGAAATGTGATATGCGAATATCAACAATATTCAGACATTTATTCAAATAGGAATCAAATGAACTTTTGTCAGATTTCTCCTATTTACACCATGTTTTACAATAGGGTGAAAGAGCATCTTTAATAACCTGGCGATAAATTTCCAATTTATTTCAGACGGTGGACGATATTTTGGTCCTTTTTTCGGGCAATTTTGGATTGCTGATTAATTATTTTCAGATTAGGAAGAAGTTGAAAACATGTGTCACAGGAACAGGACCGGGTGCACCAACAAGTCGTTTCTCTGTTATGAATGTATCAACCACTATGGAAATCCACACGCAGTCACAGTAGGGAATAGTGCATAATCGGTAAAATCCAAGATTATCCTTATTGTATGGAACACAACTTAAGAATTATTGAAAAGGTACACAATTACTTAGTATGTCAAATAGATTTATCAATCGCCGGTACGCAGTATTGCCTTCTACACTTGAGTAATATCTAATAGATTGGATAAATGCATGTTTCGCTGATTCTTTGTCACCTATTAACTGAAACGTTATACCTAAGATGTTGTAGGATACGCCTTCCATAATGCCTTTCGATATCAAATAGTTTTCTTCTATAGTCGTTTGTAAATTTAGGATTGAGTCTTGACATTTTCTACGATTGTTAAGATGGTAATGACAAAGAAAGCACAGGAAATGAGCATATACAACTGATGGTATACGGAATTTTGACGTTTGTACGTCCATTTCCAACTCATCTGGTGTTAACATACAGTTTGGATAAAGCATCACAAAATCTACGAGAAAAAATCGCAACAAGTGAACATAATTCATCTGTTTATATATATGGAAATTCAAACATTCATGATGAAAATGTGACATCTTCATTTGTGGGTATAGTTTTTCCGCTGAACACTTTAACAGAGAATACCGAACAATGTCAAGGGCAACTTTGAATTGCTTTGTTTTGTAGAAAAACGAAGCTAACTTGAGCCATCCGGAGACAGAATCATGATATAAATTCTGAAACAGAGTACTGATACGAGTTTTGTACTGTTTATATTTATATTTATTGTCATATATAGCCTTTACTTGCGTCGTCTCTGATAACATCCTTGACATATAGTACAGACACAAGTTTTTTATTTTGGAACTTTTTCGGGACAATATCATGTTTATTCCGTTTTCCCACAATTCTTCTGAAGCATCTAAATGACTAGCTATAGGCTGAATATTTGAAGTTAATGATTTTTCTATATCATAACTATGCACATATCTTTTTTTTCGTTGAAGAAATTGAAAGTGAAATGCTAAGTCGGTATTCGGTATTTGAAAGGGAAATACAATGAATTTCCAACCATTACTGTAAATAATGTGCAACTTATTTAAGAGTATTTCATGTGCGTTTCCTTTCATTTTATCTTCAAACAAATTATTTTCGGGAATGAAATAATGGGGACAAACTGAGTATTTAACACAATAAATTAGTCTCCTGAAACATCTCATAAAGCACGATATCAAATTTCCTGGTCTCCATATTGATATTGGCAATTCCTCAGATAACCAAAACAAAATTGTTTTCAAGAAGTATGAGCATAGTAAATCTTTACAATCTAAGTGAACATCAATCTGATCCTTTAGAAGAATTTTCATTAGAGCATAACATAGAAATTGTGCATGTGTAAATGTATAGATAAGAAACTTCTCTGCAACAGAAAACGATAGACGCCATTCTATGTCTTCAGTTGTAGACCCTTTAACCCCGATAGGTACAAATAGAACTCCATGTTTCATAACACGGTGTTTAACATTAAATCCTGGCCATCTCTTATTTGATCGTGTAAGCCACGGTTGTGCTTGTTTTACCCATGATTTACTATGTAAACAGTATGCAAGATCATATATTCCATTTTCGTCTGAAAGACACGGACCATGAACAGATGAGAAAAGGTCGTTTTTAAAGTTTTGTTTAAATAACACGTTTGAAAAGTACTTATGACTTCCTATCTGTTCACAGAGTTCAAAGATACACTTATCATTACTATGCAAAAAACGTAACTGTACATAACATGGCTGTGTATGTTCAGTTTCCATCATGAACTGCGCGGTATTTCTATTTATTTGAATGTTTGCTTCTTCGAAAACATCATATTCTTTCAGTACGTGCATTACATCTAAATCACTACCTTGCATCTCAAGTCCCTCTCCAAGACTGCCACTTGTAATTATTGTATTATGCTCGCTGTTTGATAAATTGTCACGGACTGTATTCATCATTCGAATTCTTTTGACGTAGTCCTCATTCCCAACAATGTTTTCACACAAATATCGGTATAGATCTATTGATAGACTGTGTGTATTCGATTCTA